TTGATTGGCTACGGCTTGAGCTGTCAGATTTTCCGAAACGGGATTTGATTGGCTGGCGCTGGCTACTCTGGCGGAGACGGACCGCTATGCTACCCACAATTCAGTTCGGCGAAAAAAAGCGGCAACGTGACGTCACCCCATTCAAAGTGAATGAGCAGATTGAAGCTGTCGACGCTGTAGTGTGGACGGGCCGTTACGGCCCCTACACACGGCGGCGTGCGTTGCCACTTCAACGCTTCTGCCCATTCACTTTGAATGGGGTGACGTCACGATTCGCCGAACTGCATTGTGGGAGCAAAGCGTAGCTTCTCTCGCGGTGCTCGCTGCAAAAGTAGAGCAATGTTCTACTTTTGCCGCCTCGACGGAGGCGTCAGCCAATCAAATCCCGCGTATACAAATCTGACAGTACAAGCGCTAGCCAATCAAACCGTGTGTATGTTGGGAGAGCCAGACCGCAGTTATTTCCCATATGTCAAAAAATGGAGGAGAAAATTATCGTGGCGATAGGGAATCACCCGGTACTATATGACCAGTCCCTCTTTACATACAGCAGGGGTGGGGAACCTTTTTCCTCTCAAGGGCCATTTCAATTTGTTCAACATCCTCCGAAGGCCGTACAAAATATTGACCTCTGCTTAAAAATCACAGCACATTCATTTGGCCTTTCTTTCATGCTGTGCAAAGAAAAAGCAACCTCTTAATCCAGATATCTTGCCATGACTCGCGCATGCATGCACGTGCACGGTTGTGGCATGACCACCAAAACAGAAAGATATGGACACAAGATGTGTGCAAATGTATTTAGTTTCCTATCCATGAAAATGATTTAAGTGGGGTGGACCTAACCTCCTCTAGGGGGGTCCGGGGGCTTGCTCCCCCGGGAAGATTTTTTTTAAATATTGAAGTTGAAAGCATCAATCTGGTGCACTTTGGGAGCAAAATGAAGAGATCTATGGAAACATCTCTCAACACCCATATGAAACAGAACTGTAAGCAGATTACTCTTTTTCTTTATGGATATTTTACAAATCACTCTCCTTTTAAACTGTATTCTTGTTATTTTAAAAAACGTTTTTGTTATTGTCAAAGTATTTTATACCTGTATACCAAAACTACAACTCTTCGCTTCTCCACGAATTACACAAGTCACCCAAATCAGCGTCAAGGTTAGCCTGTTTTTAACGCAAAAAACAATGCTGTGTTTTGAATATCGGGGCCTTAACACCAGGTACCTCCTACTCAAAATTCCCAGCATCCGTTGAGCAAAAATGGCTGCAGAACCCAGGGTGAGGATGCTCAGAGTACATAGCCCGAATGACACCTCTTTTCCCATGTCCTACGTATCCTGCACAACACAAAAGTGAAAAATCTGATCTACAGAAGGCTGTAAATGTAATAATACATTTGATTTCGATCATTTGTATGTATAATGTTATGAATGATCTGCTATCTTCAATACTATGGTTAAGTGATATTTAAATTAAACTTAAAAAAATCTATATACAGGCTGTCACCATATTTTGGAATTGTGAAAAGACTGGCAAGCCACTTCCCTTATAAGCTTTACAGTTACCATCCATCCATCCATCCATCTTCTTCCGCTTATCCGTGGTCGGGTCGCGGGGGTAGCAGTTCCAGCAGAGAGCCCCAAACTTTCTTTTCCCTGGCGACATCAACCAGCTCTGACTGGGGGATCCCAAGGCGCTCCCAGGCCAGCGAAGAGATATAATCCCTCCACCTGGTCCTAGGTCTACCCCTTGGTCTCTTCCCAGCTGGACGTGCCTGGAACACCTCCCTAGGGAGGCGCCCAGGTGGCATCCTAACTAGGTGCCCGAACCACCTCAACTGGCTCCTTTCGACGCGAAGGAGGAGCGGCTCAACTCAGAGTCCCTCCCTGATGACCGAACTTCTCACCTTATCCCTAAGGGAGACACCAGCCACCCTGCGGAGAAAACCCATCTCGGCCGCTTGTATCCGCTTTACAGTTACCTGGATTTTATTCCACCAGCCCTGCAGATATTACACTAGCCTACAAACCTCAATAGGCATGACTCCTAAAATCCCTAAATCTGTTGATTTTTTTTCACACATCTTAGTCCTTCTTCTTAAAGTCCTTAAAGTTTTAGTTTAAAATAGAGATACTTTTTAAATATTGTTCTATAATGATTAAATGTCAGTGAATAACAAAATGTTTAATTATATAACTTTTACATCTCATTTAAAAAAGGTGGTTGCTAACTTGATCAGTGGCATACTGTGACAATAACTGGGACTTCAGCTCAGCCACACTTAGCAGACAGACCAAAAAAGTGTCAACACGGCAAAATATTTAGCTATGGATAAACGGCATACTGTGACAACAGCAGCTGGCTATGGAGTGCAACTGTTGCATGAAATGACGGCAACCACCACACAATTACATTACAATTATAAATATATTAATTTAGAGTTTGTCTTTAACTGTGTGAGACTACTACTGATACTCTCATGGAGCACTAGATAATTGTCTGTTTGGAAGCTGCTTTAATATATTAATGTGAGTCAAAAGTACATTTTACACATATATTCCTGCTTACATGATGTAGTGGGACATCCTGATATTTTTAAGTTGAAAGTGCAATATCCAAATTGCAAGAAGCTGCAATTATTATTTTTCAGCTAAATTTGAGAATACAAAATTATTTCCTTTTTCTTCAGTAAAATCTGGACTTTCACTCACTCTAGATCTAATCAATTACAGGTGGCAGCCATCTGTAATTTAGGTTACTTTGAAAAAAACAAATGGTGACAGCACTTAATTGTCTAAAGCTAACTGTGAGTGACGTGCACTGATACATTTTTGAGGAAATATAATCTATCTAACAATCTATGTAAGCACTGAAAGCACCTGAAGCAGAAATACAGAACTTATTTATCTATGTCATTGTATGCCAACCTGAACAATCTTTGAATTGCATTCTGCAAAACTGACAAGACGAAATGCAAAACATGGTGGACATTTCCTCGCGATAGGACTCGGAATGGTGAAACCAATTTGTGTCCACACCTGTAATAAGAAAGTATAAAACAATAAGCCTAAGGTTTAATTTAGCAAGCTTATTGAAATTGAATTTGTAAAATACAATATTTCTTACTCAATATCCACAAAAAGTGTGCCTTTTTCCGGAAAGCGTCCTGGCTGACGGTATTTCTTACTTTCCAACAAACCAGAGAAAGCGTCAAATATGCCATGTCTCCAGCGTCAAGAACTACCTCCAAAAGAATGCTCTGCAGCAATTCTTGCGGTAGCTATGGACATATTTTTTCAAGAACCAGGTTAACAACAGAACTGAATTTCAAAACAAATATTTGTGTATATTTATATATTGATATGCTCCTTCTTCATAACCAACCAAGAGAAGTGGTTACCTTAAGAATCCAGCAACATGTCTTTCTTGTGTCCACCATATTTTTTGGGCGCTCAGCTCTTTTATTGAATCCAACCACTTAAAAACACAAAAACAACCAGAAGATGATGCAGGGCTGGCTAAACTTTACTCTAGTTATGGTTGGGCTGATGGACAATGACATCGTGCATCAGCCATGTATGACAGCCATCGCCGTTGGATACCTGACCATCATCACATCATGAGTTAATAAGGCGCCCTCCCCTCCCTGCCCCACAAGAACGGGTAGAGTTTCCGTTTCGGAACAGTTAACTGCGGTACTCACATTACTTTAAACAGCCATAAAGTGGGAGGATAAGCTCAGGTTGATGTATAATAGTTAAACAGCTGACTCCATTATTGTAACACGTATTACAGCAGAAATAAACAAAAAAGCATTGGTAAATGAAGCGCAGAGTTTAGTTTGAGCCGTGGTCCCGGAGCTGATCAAGCACCGCCGCAGAGGACATCGTCTATGTCCAGTTGGGTACACATCGCCCAATTGTAACTTGAACATTTGTTGAAATTAAAGACTTAATGCATACTAAAAGTATTTATTGAGCTGTAAAATACATTGTACGACTGTACTTCAACACCAGACTGCATTCGTTCCCTTAATGATCCCCTTGATGATAACACGCTAAGGCATGTAGCGACACTCCCTCACTAATTAAGTTTAATGTACTTTAAGTGCATGAGCAAATCCGTTTGAGTTTAGTGTTTTCAGTATGAACACAAACAGTCTGACAGCACCTGCTAATGCAGGTTAGCCCTGTTCACTAGCTGTTCCTTCTCTACACTGAGCAATGGTCAATCTGTCACATAATTCACTGTAATCCTACCTCCTTACTTGCAAAGTCAGACACTGTGTAGGTGGCCAACGTACCTCTCTTTGCAGTCTTTCCTTTTGTCTTCTTCGCTTTTTTTCCTCTTTTTTTCTTGCCGTATTTGTTTTTCTTGTACTTCTTCTTCTTACTCTTCCTCTTCTTCCCTCTGTCTGACGAAGAGGAGGAGGAGGAGGAGGAACTGGAGGAATTGGAGGAGGTGGAGGATGAAGAGGAGTTGCCTGCCCCTATTTGGTCACCTTCAGAAGTAACTGGCGCCTTAACTGATGCCATTTTTAGAAGGGCCAAAGCTGAAACAAACAAGAGGATTAGAACATAACTATTGTTACCACTAAGGGTCAGAACATTTACAATAATCTTTAAACCTTATATTGTGTGTTCAGAGTTTCACGCAGATCGGTGAAAATTCATATAGTGTTTTTCACTACATTTGAAATAGTGAAAAATATCGTGACCTGAAATGTTAGGTAAGTGAAACAATTTGTTCTTTAGGATTTATGGAATATGTGAGATCATTTTCATGACTCTAGTTCAAACGGAGCATGTGATATGCCTGTTCCAAGTTTCCCCCGAACAAACGGACTCAACATATTTTAACAAGTGACTGTTCTTTCCCTCTCAATCCAACCCTCCACTGTCGGTTGATAAGTGAGAGAAGTGAGCTGGAGCCTGATCTGTCAAGCTCCACCCCACCATTTGGTGCTGTCCGTCCTATATGCTTGTCATGATATGTTTGCAGTGAAATGACTGAATTGCTGATGCAACTAGTCATCTGCAAGCATGTATGGCCTCATGGACTGTGATGAGAAATGTTGTAGGGCTTGGTGTATGTGCCTGTTTTTTTTGTTTTTTTTCTCAAAAGCTATCAGATGCCAATAAGTAATTATTTAATCATTATTGATTTGCTTACCCTCAGCCAGCTGTATCCTCAGATAGTCCCTTTCGCTTTCAACAGTTAATAATTTGTCCTTTGAAGCATCTAGCCTTATTTTCAAGGCATTATTATCTCTGTTTCTGTGCTTCAGAGCTGCTATGGCTGTGGGAGCTGCAGAAACATCTGTAATGACAAAAACGGCAAAAAAAACAACATTATCTTTTCTGTAGTTATTACACAAACAGTATGTATAGGCAGATTGTGGTTCCATGCCTTTGTTTAGCGTTTTCAAAAAATGTACAATAAAATGTCAAAATTATAGATCTAGGACCGCCTGTATTGTCGTGAAGTTGCAGACATGTCATTGATCACATTTAATAGAGACTGTTGAATTCTATATTGGGACTTGCAACTGCATTTAAACACTGCAAAACCTATGATAATACATTACAAAACATTACTATATTCACTTCAAGGCAACTGTAAGATCATTGATTCTGACAGGGGCTTCACAAGTAATTGCAAAAAATAACTTCAACTTTTAATATGCACTCAACCACACAGAAGTAAAATGGGCTCTAGTACATTTGCACAAGCGTTTACATTTTCGTTATGTAATATTTTCTTGTTCTAGTGTATTGTGCGATATTATATATATATATATATATAAAGATAACACAATCAAAAAACAGTAACCGTAGATAAAATGTAAATGTAATGCAGTTTCAATCATGAGAGACGTGATGTATGAAATACATGTTTAATACCGGACACGTGGTATAGAAAATTATGATTGACAGATTACAACAATGAATCAACTGATGTTTGGAGATTAGGCCCCAGTTTGTAGGATATCATTCAGGAGGGGAAAACCGCTCCGATGAACCCCCCGGGGTCTAGACACTGGTGGTGGTGATAATGGTTCGGTCTGGTCTGGAGGAAGAAGGATTAGCTTGGCCCTGAATTAGGAGACAGGAGGCGAAGGGGTGGAGGCGGGTTGTGCGTTGACACCTGAAATGACAACTGACAGAGAGGGAAGAGCAGATTTAAAGGGTTTAGCAGGTGCAATGATTGCTAGCTGGGGAGTACCGCCCCTGATTACTTAATGGGAGAAGAGCTTGCAGTGAAGTGTAACACCAGGGGGTATGGTCTTCCTTCTTGAACTTGCGCTAAGCTTCATTTCAATCATGAGAGACGTGATGTATGAAATACATGTTTAATACCGGACACGTGGTATCGAAAATTATGATTGACAGATTACAACAATGAATCAACTGATGTTTGGAGATTAGGCCCCAGTTTGTAGGATATCATTCAGGAGGGGAAAACCGCTCCGATGAACCCCCAAGAAGAGAAGTAAGAAGTGCTGAGATGTGAAGCATTTCTTACCTTGCTGGCTGATTGAGGAGATCTGTGGATGAAATGAGATAACACAGGGACATGATGAGATTGTCGGAATAACTGTAGGGTTAATGTGAACGCCAACCATGCTTAGCGCCTGCATGTTGGATTAGACGATGCTGACCCACTGGCCGCAACCTGCACGCGCAGGGTTAAACATGACGCTGACCCACCGGCCGCAACCTGCACGCGCAGGGTTAAACATGACGCTGACCCGCTGGCCGCAACCTGTACACACAGGGTTAAACAAAAGCTGACCCATAGGCCGCAACCTGTACACACAGGGTTAAACAAAATGCTGACCCATAGGCCGCAACCTGTACACACAGGGTTAAACAAATGCTGACCCATAGGCCGCAACCTGCACACGCAGGGTTAAACAAATGCTGACCCATAGGCCGCAACCTGTACACACAGGGTTAAACAAATGCTGACCCATAGGCCGCAACCTGCACACACAGGGTTAAACAAATGCTGACCCATAGGCCGCAACCTGTACACACAGGGTTAAACATGACACTGACCTACTCGCCCTGCACGTGCAGGGTTTAAACATAATGCGGACCCACTGGCCGCAACCTGCGCGGCAGGATTCAATACGAGCGAACCTGAAGGTCACGACGATATGAAGTGTTTAAACATGAACACGGTGACACGTACATGTGCTGACTTGCTAAGACCACCACCAGTTGTATGTATAAATACCGTTTAGTGTTCGGACCTTGGATGGCCAGCACGCACGGATGTCCGGGCGAATGTGGGATATGAAGGCGGAGGAGGACCACCGTCCGAGTTGGCAGGGAGGAGGGAGATATGCCTTGAATGGCTGCACCTGTCTGAACGAAAGCCCTGATATGCTATTAGACGCCACCACCAGTTATATGCATATTTACCATAGGTAAACTGAAGAGATCTTGATTGGCGGCACGAGCCGATGTCCGGTGAAGAGGGAGATGTAGACGATATAATGCCCGAGAGCTGTTAGCTTGAGTACGGTGATGCATGAATATCGTAACCTGGTTTACCACGAGCCAAGTGAGCATGAACCCGAGAATATGAATGAAGTGCCGGATGCACGCAGAAAAGACGTACACTTAGTTAAATACTGAGACATGACCCATGATATAGTATATCTTAATTAGCGTTAAGTGTGCCGGGATGAGTCATAGATGCTGATGAGCTGATTGAGTGATTAAGACTGTCTTCTATCATCTGAAGTGAGGATGATGGAGGGACGCTAGTGTTAGATCCAGCAAGTGTGATAATAAATGTGTAGAAATAGTGGAAATCTGAATGATCTCATGCAGATATCCCCCCCAAAACGGAGGATGTGCAGTGCACGTCCTTAAGTCGGGGAAAACACGGTCGTCGTGAGGCCGGCGGATGCCACGTCCAGGAAACGGGAGATGATGCGTGCCGAAGAATCCGCATGCAAAGTACGGTTGCCCGGTGAGGAAGAGCAACTGTCGTTGAAGACGTTTATGTGGATGCACGCAGTTGGTTAGAGGAACGATAATACCATGAGCTTGATGTGATGGCTAGGAACTCCGGTGTGAGACTGGGCCTGTAGTTCCTCATGATTAGGAACGCTGTGCTCCTGGAGGAGTCTCTTCTGTTTCTTCTTCTCTTTCCCAGTTGAGCGGAGTTGTAGTTTAGTAATGTTGTATTTGAACGCTAGATGCGTGAAGGCAACGCATTAGGAGATCTCCCTGAGCAGTGGGTGATTTGAACTGGGGAGAGACGCTATTAATATTATTACCCGAATAGCCGGTGCACGCATAGTTTCTCCTACTTGACTTAAGGCTGAAAGAGTTCCGCTGAACGATGATGGGAACATTAAAGCGCGTCGTAATATCTGCTTTGAAGAGCCAGCCTTGGCCTGCACGCTATTAGATTACATTATCTCCGTGCGTAGAAAGGGGGGAACATTGACCTTGTCATCGAGATTGCCCTGAGCATTTACCGAATTGTATTAAGTAATCTGTCGACAGGCTGTAAACAGAAAAGCTGAAATTGAAACTAATAAATACTCAGTTACCTCTAATCATTAACCGAGTTTGTATAATGTAGTTACTCTGTGTGTTGCTGCTAGCATACGTAACATCTGACGTGGGAACGTTACTCGTGAATGGAGCTACGGAGCTGCTAGAAAGACAGTGGAACCCGGTGCATTCCTCCGTCTGGATGTGGAGCACTTTTGCTAAATGTTTAGACAAAGTGCTCGTGTTACGCCCTTACATGATAAACTCTTATTGCACTTTGGCAACGAGCATTCTCCACGTCGAAGCGGGTGAAGTTAACCACGCCTCGGAGCGCGTTCTCTCCGCCACCTCCGCAGTGTGCTCCGCTGCATGTAGCAGCTGTGTGTGTAAACTGCCCCGTCCCCTCGCGATGGGGGAGAGAGATCTCATCTGATCGAAAATACATCATAGGCGCATTTGTTTGTCCTTTGCATATTAGAACGAGTTGTGACACTAGACTGCGATATAATGTTTTTTTTTTAGCAATAAACATGACATATATTTATAAATGTCTCCGGTACTGATAAAAAGACCAATAACGTTGGAGCTTACGCACGTAAACACACTGCTGACGTCACAATGAATCGACGACTGAATTAGTTGCAACTAATTTGGTAATCGATTTGATCGATTAGTCGATTAGTTGTTGCACCCTTAGTCGCTGCAACTCTGACTACTTTTACATCCAGGCTGAAGACTTTTCTTTTGTCGCTGCTTTTAATTGAACTATTCATATCTTAGACTGCACTGTACTTTGATCCATGTACTTTTTCTTTTAATGTTTATTT